GATCTTCTTGTCTGAAAAATGATTGGTATTCTAAAGTTAAAATATTTTATCATTAAGGAATATGTTTAGAAACAACGAGTGTCTATTGAACATATAAGCACACAATTTATGATTGCAATCTATTAACGAATGGACTACCACCCAAAACATTTATGGAACATGTTGAAAGAATGGATCTTGAATGTAGTCAATGATAGTTATTTTTTAATTGTGGATTGCTTAATAGTTCTTATATATATGTGACTTTTTGTGCTTATTAAGTGTGTTTCTGATATCTCCTATTAATTAATGTACATGTACGTATTACTTTAAACAATGGTTATAGGTATAGTTTTGGAAAAGACATTATTGTCAGATCATTATTGACACTTCTCATTTATAGATTATGTTGAATAGGTTACTAGTGTTGTGGTACATGAAAGTGACTGTGTTATTTAGTGATGTACAACCGCCATAACTCGCATTGGTAATTTATTTGCCATGGTATTTATAATGACCAACTTAATGACTCAATCTAATTTATGGTGCACACTAATGACTATTTTACTAAATCACTATGGAAGTTATCATATGGTCCAAGTGGTTAATTTAAAATTATTTATTAATTGTGTGGCCCACATGTTTTGGACAAGTGATATATATATTTCATTAATTAGTACTTAAGTAAATAGAAATCAAATTAATATTATATTATTTGATCAACTTATAAATTACCTTTTTGGTAAATAATTATTGGAGAAGTGTTTTTCTATTTATTCCTTACTGTGATGGAAAGTGGAATTAAGATTACTAAAAGGAAAACCGGTCCTCTCTATGCCATTATAAAGTGCATATTCCCTATTAATTATGTATGCTAATAAAACAATACGTATATAGTTTTATATGTGTAAAACGCCAAGAGACATAAATCAATTTTCACGTTTTGCCTATTGTTTGGAGTTGCAACTTAGTTCGTTGTTAAAAGATCTCAACGTTGGACTTAATTTCAATAAGGTTTGCTATCATAAATCGAGGTATATATATCTAACTATATATATTTATGCTTTATAGCAATGTGAAAATAATTGAAGTTCTAAGATCATTGGGATTCATGATTATTTGTGATTAATGCTTGACATAAATTATTAAAGTTTACAACAACGACTTGTCTTCCTTCAGTAGTAGCACTGTAAACTGAAGAAATGGATGAACCGGCTCGGTGTAGTACCCTCTCTCTCTGATGTAGACTCAAACTCGCAGAAGTGGCAGAATGGTGGTGGTCAAAAAGAAAATCCGCCGTGGTTTCATGCTTCCTTGCGGGAGTTTGGTTAACAGTGACAGAGGGTGATTGGTATCACCGTGCCATTTGCGGTTCAACAATAACTGGAGTAGGTGAATAGAAGAAAAATTGAAAGAAAACCTAGGTTTCAAAACCTTAGTTGTGAAGATTGAGGCAGCGTGGTTTGATTGAGGACCTTGGATCGCCGTTGGAGATGAGGCTTATGCTGCCATCTCCAGCGGTAGCTCTGATACCATGTTGATTATCCGAGGTAGAGACAAAGAGAGAAACACAGACCTGTATATTGAATTGTAATATAAACTAATATATTGAGTTGATTAAATGATAATGATACAAAGTATATATAAATAGACTAACAACAATTACTGTAACAATCTAAACAACGGCTATAATATAATGTAACTAAAAGAAGCAATCTAAACAAACCGCTATAATATAATCTAATTGTGTTAATAGTTACTCCCTCCGTCCCAATATAAGTGTCACTTATGAGGAGTGGTAATTTTTAAGGGGGCAAGTGGGACCATGTATTGTCTGTCTGGAAAATTACTAAGTTACCCTTTTAAGTTTTGAATATTGAAGTTTGAAATTTAAACTTAAAGGACATTTTTGGAATAATGTGAAATATATTGTTTGAAAAAGGAAAGTGAACACTTATTTTGGAACAGACAAAAAAGAAAAACATGACACTTATTTTGGGACGGAGGGAGTACTGTTTTTCCACTCCTTACATGTCAAAAAGGTTGCACCCTACTTCCTTATCGGTGCATGAACCCCAATCGAAAGACCGCAATTCTCTATTAGCTACTTTAATATTATTTGTGTTTAAAGAAAAATAATTAGCTCCCAAGGAATCTGAGCACAATGATATATCTTTGGAATTGTTCATGTGAACAGAAAATGAATCTCATCTACATGACAAGGACGACACCCCAACATGCACAACAAACATTTCACTTTAGATGTATCATTTTATTCTGTGCATAAGCGCCGGCCTCCTCTGTCAGTTAATAATTAACTTTATTTGAAGACTGACTGATGCAATTTAAACTAGTCTTTTTTTAAACCATTTTCATGACCCACATTTTATATTTTAGTGAGACCTTAAATCTCAAGTGATACATCTAAAGTGAAATGTTTGTTGTGCATGTTGGGGGTTAATGGAACACATGAACAACATGAAAAAACAAACAACTAGCTTCCAATCTCGTCATGCAATTGGGAATGTGCTCCCGACGTCACTCATCCAAACCTCATCTTCTATCCTAGATGGGACTATTTTTATGTTTGTTGGTAAGCTAATTATTATTTTAACAATACAAAATAAACAGAATTGTAATTATCATCAACTCACATATTATATGTTTCTTGTTCTGTATGTAGACAAATAATATTATCTTTAATTCAGATTAATTTCCTTACTTTTATTTTTTGTTTTTTTATTATCAAATGTTTTGTATTGTATGTGTGATGATCCTATGGGCGGGTGTGTTGTGGGCGGGTGCGAGATATTGGCAAGCTATCTGGGCGAGTTACGAGTGCACAATCCCACATCGCCTGGCTAAAGAAAAGGTAAAGTGCTTATATGTGGTGATGTTATCTCTAATTAGTATGAGGCTTTTTGGGATAAAGTCTAAGAGCAAAACTGTACGGACTCAAGTTCAAAGCAGACAATATTATAGCATGTGATGAAATGGGCCGTTACAAATGATATTAGAGTCTGACCCAGTCAGAAGTGTGCCGACGGAGACATCGAGCCTCCAAGGGGGGTGGATTGTGATGACATGTGGGCAATCCTAGGTAAGGTAAAGGTGAAGTGCTTATATGTAGTGGTGTTATCTCTAATCAGTATGGAACCTTTTGAGATAAAGCCCGAGAACAAGACCGTGCCGGCTCAGACCCAAAGAGGACAATATCATGCATGTGATGGAGTGGGTTATTATAGTATGTTTCATTTATTTCATAATATATATTAGGTTTCTTTTTAGTTATTAATTTTTTTAAATGTATAATTACTAAGCATTTTTAATAATCATAACAATATAACTTTCTTAAATTGGTCATTACTTGCTTTAAATGGTTTTTTTTTTTATTACAAAAAAAGTCAGTAAAACTTATTAAAAATGGAGCTTTATCAAATCATATTGTATATGTTTGTATATGGACAAAATATGATGGAATCAATTATTGCAGTCAATAATTATTTTTTCAACCTCACACAAAACTCCCGACCCAATTTTACTATCTCACGTTAAATATATTATAATAAGTAAATGTCTTGCAAATTATGATTAATTGATATACATGTTGTGGAAGTTGATGTAGTAAACTTGGAGGCATAAAAAATCACATTCACAAGAGTTTGCATAAGAGTGTCAATTATAAACATTTTCATAGAGTCAGTGCTACTAACAAAGTCTTTCGTAGTAATCGGCATTAATTCTATGAAACTTTTTATAATTTAGACTGAAAAAGAATTATAATTTAAAAAATAATAATAATCAGCTGTAGTTTGAGTAAGCCCAAACGAATCCTAGTTTAATGTATATAATAGCTTGAATATAACGGAACACAAATGGATTCATGAAAATGGGGACTAAGGTCTCATCAACATATAAAATAAGCGTAACTAAGTGACTGCATTTTTAATGAAAGCCATATTAAATGGGAAAATGGAAGCCTTGACTTTATACATCAAGAATCATGGAATAGAAGTACATATGTGTAAAAGATGGGGATTAAAGCCTCAGCAAGAGTTCTAAAAAAATTAAAAAATTAAACAATAAGAAAAAAAAAAAAAAAAAAATTACCAAAATGGTTGGGGTACATGCAAGTATGTTTAAGAAACTTAAACAATAATACTAATATTAGACTCTCCCTTTTTAATTTGCTAAGATATGTTTGATCAGGATTTGTGGCTTTTCTTACTTTCAAATTTTATTATGAAATTTTTTATTTGTTGGAAATATAGAGTGTATTTGCCATGTAAATCTGGTTCATCTAAATGGTTAGGTGCTATAGCTATCCTATTATGTGGATTATTTTGTTGCGAATAGGGGGCACTTGCCCCCGGCAGCGGGGCAGTGATGGTAGGAGCTCGGCCTGCCACACCAACGGCCCAGGTTTGACTCCTTCCAAGCCTTCCTTGTCCTCCGACTCACCCGGTGTTATCCTTGGGGCGGGACTCTTACACCTCCAGGTTTGTAGCCTAGGGTGGGTCCCGAGGGGCCCTGCCTAGGTGAGTTCCTGGTGTCAACTAAAATAAAAAAATAAAAAAAAATTAATAGGGGGCACTTTTGAGAAAATAATATTATTGCTAATAATAATTTATAGCATTCACCAAAAAGTAACTTTATGAGAAAATAAGGCCATGCTTGGATTGCATTTCATAGAACAGTTCTCAAGAACAATTCTCGAGAACAATTTTCAGAGAACGGTTTTTAGTTTTTTCAGATTTCAAACCTGCTTGGTTAAGAGAATTTACAAAACAATTTCCGAAAAAAAAAAAAACTCATAAAACTACTTGGTTGTATGAGTTTTTGAAAATAGTTTTCTGAACTAAGAAAATAAATAAAAAATATTATTGTACCTCATTTTTTTATTTCTTTAATTTATGATATTAACTATTAATGTAAATAAGTGTTGGAGCTAAATTCATTTTAGATAGTATTCTTAACTTAATAACAGTTACACAAATGCATATATCAAGTTTAATTGCAATCCTCTTTCTGCATAACTCCAAAATGGAGGTTCTGTTTGGTGCTTGTATTTTGTTTCCCCTTCATAGGACTCCATGTACATTCTTCCTAAATTTAAATACAATAAAAAAGTTACATGAAACATTATAAATTAAACATAATAAAAGGTACACCAAAACAAAGTTTTCATAACATAAAACATAATAAATTGTCCCCCACACGAATATAACATAAAGTCACATGCATAGGAAAAATAAAAAATAAAATAAGGCATAAGGAAATTGTTCAATAACACATAAAACCAAATATGTGTTTCAAGTCACATGCAACCAAAAACTAAACCCTGCATTTAGTAACCACCCAAGTCAGTCCAAGCTCTTCAACCAAGCAAACTTCCTGGAAATACTCATCTTAATGAACAATTCTCTGTAGTGCAATTCCTTGAACTTTTCAGTTGCCTTCAGATATGTGTCATCATCTATCTCATCAAGACCCTCAAGGCATTCAATACAATTACTTAGAGAGCATGCGTCTGGGCTAGTTGCCTTTTGAGTATGTTTCATTTTCTTATACGTCTCCGCCTTAGCTAATGAAGCTTCAGTCCTTGCTTTGGAAGCTTCAACAATACAAGCAAGAGTATCACTAATGGAATCTTTTTTACTCACCTTTTTTGCACGACAATCAGAGGATGTGGATTTACGACGACGAGGGTTATTGTCTTCAACTAAAATATTATCTGAATCATCTTGACCTTTAGCAATTGAACTAACATGGACACCTGTATTCATAAATTGATCCTCCTGCTCTCGTTCTCCATCTATATTAGGTGGATCTTGAGTGGATGCATAGTGAAGTTGCCCAGTAGCAGTCGACGTATTAAAAAGAACTCCCAAAAGTTTTTAATTTTCACAACCTTTTTTGCAAAAACACTTAGCATTGGGATGAGCCTGAAAAAAAAATATGTATATATAAAGATTGTTAGGAATAACCATGTTTAAAAATTAAACTAACTATTGTAAAATAATTAATTAAATATATATTTTACCCGCAAATATGTTTGCCAAGTTTCTTCATCAGTAGTCACAGTGTTTGTTTTCGCATCCCAACCAAACCCAGTTGTCTCGTTTAGAAGAGTTGAAAACTCACGATGCTTTGTACGTAATCGATTAAATTTTGCCTTCTGTTGTTTCACATTATAAACGTGATTAGTCTTGTTTTTGAACTCCTCCGCAATCTTTTTCCAACACTTGGAAGTAAATATCCCAGATGGCATGTTCCCCTTGTTAACCTCTTCAACCATTATATCAACAAAACGTCTCTCTAATTGTGTAGACCACAGAGCTGACTCCTCAACATCAGCAATTTTAGATGCCATCCTTTATTTGTGCATTAAGCAAAGAATTACAAGCAATAAAATGAATTACAAGCAAAGAATTAGGCAGTGATATCAACTTAGAGAAATAAATAGATCAGGTTAACAGTGATATCAACATATGTTTCCGGCAAGGATTGAACACTAAATCAATTTGAAACAAATTTCTCCATAGTCCTCTAGTCACTTGTTCTTCTTCTTTTCTTTTTTCTTTTTTTTTGTCTCCCCTTTTATTTTTGGTAATTCTTTTAACGAAATGTGGATTTATAAGGTATGGAACCCATAGAAAATAAATACAAGAAAAGGTTTTGGAATTTTCTGCAAGGCTGGCCATCCTAGTCAAGCTAGCCACAATGTACAACATTATCCATAATATGGTAGAAAAACCAATATATATTCCTTTTCTTAAGCTTCTTGTTCTGTTATTATTTGAAAATGTATTGAAGATCAATAATAGAAAATTTTGACATTGTGATTGACGACAACTCCAACATCATCACAATAATTGATCTAATTGTTGAGATAATAAATAATCAATTAGGAACATCTTCATAATAATTGATCTAATTGAAGATCAATAATACAATATTTTGACATTGTGATTGCCGACACCCCCAACATACATCATCACAATAATTGATCTAATTGTTGATCATGTGATTCATTGCAGGACAAATAATATTGACCTGAAATGTATTGCCGTTTATACTACAGTCCAGCTAATCCTTTTCCATTTTCATTTGTTGAGCCTATAAAAAGTGGGCATGCCCTGTCTATCTTGTACTTCTGTATTTTTCCTGTAATTGAAACTAACCCATTCAAAAAAAAAAAAAAAAAAAAAAAAAACATGCACTACAATATTCATATAAAACCATAGAAGACATTCTTAAATTGAAAAGTACAGAACAGAATAAAACTAGTTTGTTATATCCAAACAAAAAATTATATAAACTGACTTCCTATTATAATCCACACAAAGTGGCTTGGTTCAAGCACTCTTCCTGAAATTCAAAAACATATAAAATAACTTTTACTGCTTCAATAATTATTTTCATTTGATTAGGTCACTATATGGTGCGTTTAGATTAGTCTTGGTGGTCAAAATTTGTTTTATGGAATCTTTGTCATAGTAGAAGTAGCAGCACTACAAC